AGAAGGTATATAGTTTCCTCCTTCTTAGATCCCTCCCTGCTGCCGCTAAGTGCCACCTCTCGGGGTTCCAAACCCTTTCATTAAGGCCGGCCCTCGGAATCGTGTTGGGCCATGCCTGCGCGATGGGGGAGTCGCGCAGGGCCAGCAATTCCCTCCTGGAATACAGTCCCGAATCATGACAGGAGGTCCAACAGCAGAGCCGGGAAGGGGAAAAGTCCTCGTGGTGGTGGTCAAGGGGTTGGATGGATTAGAAGAAGACGATATAGTTCGTAAGTCTTTGCACCCCCCATGAGAAAGAAAAAGGGAGGGGGGGAGGAAGTTACAGTCAAAGTCGGCCAGCCAGCAGCGTAGGCCTCCGGGCCCGCCAAGCACAGTCACACAGGTCCCCAGGGTCCCCAGGCATTCACCGTCAGGCATATCCCTCCGGCCCATGCCTCCCTTGGGCCCTGTCCTCCGCCCGGGCCGTTCTTCCGCCCGGGCCGCTGTGCTACTGTGCTGGCGCGTCCTCCGGGCCGCTGTATAACACGCCGCTGAGCCGGCACAACCTCCGGGCCACTGTATGCCTCGTCTCTGGTCACTCCTCCCTTTTACAGGCCGTCGGGCAACCCCGGTCCCCGGGCCGCCAGGCTGCCACGCCACTAGGCCCCAAACTCTCGTCAGGCCACCGGATCTTCAACAGGCCGCAGGGCCGCCCCCGCACCGGGCCGCCCGGCAGCCCCGCCAGGCCGTTAGGCTGCCATGGCCTCCTGTCATAGGTCTTCCCGAGGCCGCCGAGCTGCCGTCGCGTCGAGACACTGGCCGTCGCCGTATCAGGCCGCCGCCGCATCCGGCCGCCGCTCTTCTTGGCCGTTAGGCCCCAAAACGTCCGGTCGGCGATTTTCCCAGCCGCCAGGCCCCAAGTCCTCCGGCCGCCGATACTCCCGGTCGCCAGGCCCCGAATCGGCCGGCCGCTGACCCTCCCGGCCGCTAAGCCCCGAGTCGACCGTCCGCCGATTTTCCCGGCCGCCAGGCCCCGAGACGACCGGCCACCGACTTTCCCGGCCGCCCGGCTCCGCTCTACTCGCCCGGCCTCACCGACTTCGCCGCCAGGCCTCTCCGCTCGGCTGCTCCGCGCTCCGCTCACGGCTCCGCCCAGGTGGTCCCGCGGTCCGACACGTCTTCTTCGCTCGCCGACCCTCTCCTCCTTCCACCCCTGGACCTTTCAAGGCTCCCCCATCTCCACTGAGGACCCCTGCGGAGACTACGGAGCCGAAAGCAGTAGGTCCGCCATCACGCACATGCGCACATCAGCCTTCTCTTGTACATGATTCTCAAAACAGCAGATACTAACAATGGGCAAGAAATCTCTGAGAAAGAAAAGTGATTACTGTATACAAACCCAGATCTAAGTTCTGAGTAAACTATCTATAGAGTTCAAGGAGAGGGTTTTGTCTTGGCTAATTTAGAGAGAATGATATAGCTTATACAGATTTGTTGCTGAGTATTGGGAAAAAATAGTTAAATACACCTGTTGCTTTAAAGTCTTATCATATTATTTCTTTTTTGGTATATAGCAGGATTAATTCACAAAACAGCAGAATACATCTTACCTCTTGTCCTAGACAACAACCAAATTCTTCTGAAACCCTCTTAGCAACAGACATGGCAGCCACTCGACGAGGCTGAGTGCAGCCAATCTTCCCACGAGTGGTGTAGCCAGCTTCAGCAAGGTACTGTGTGATTTGTGTAGTTTTCCCAGAGCCAGTCTCACCAATAACAATCAGAATCTGGTTATCATGGACTGCCTGAAAAAAGTAGGGGGAAGCATTGAAACAGTCTCATTTAAAAGAGAATGGGTGTTCAGGAGCAATCTGATTGGTGCTGTTTGCTTTTAAATCATCAACAGTCACCACAGTGCAGAAAACAGACAAGCAGAAGTGTTAGTGTGTCAGATCAAAATGAGGAATTTATTTATTAATCTTACAGATCCAAAATCTTGTTTCAAATCTTGGTTCTAACTGTTAGGGGGAAGAGGGGAGGAGAAATAAATTGACTACCCACTGAAAAATACAGCAGTTTTAAGAAAATCTGGGCAGAATTTTTATTGATCAAATCCCTGAAGGTTTCCAAATGTGAATGAAATAAAACTTCCATCATTTTCTCACCATTAAAAATACTGATTTCAGCACCTGGGAATTCTGGCTAAGCAATGTCAGGAAGGCACAGCTTGCAACATTCTTTTACTTGGGTTGTAGACGGTCACTATTATTTGAACAACACAGTAACACTCTCCTGCCAGTTGGTGTTATTTATTTTTTAAGCATTGGTCAGATAGTTTTTACTGTTTTTCTTATTGAGAGCTATTTATTCTTCAGATAAGTCATCTTGGATATCTGATTAAAAAGCCGAAAAATATATTTAACTGATTAAAAAGTCAAATTTCCTTTGAGTGAAGCTTCATTCTGGTGGTATCATGGATACATCACTGCAATTGTCCTGAAAACGAATACATAGCTTTTTTTCTTTCCCCACTGTTTTCTTCTAGAATATTTTTTAAATTTTCCTATCTTGTCTATAGTCTTGTTTTTCTGTAGTGATCTTTCATTCATGTAATAGGGAGACATGTCCCTGCTCAGCTTCTCAACCCAAATAATGTCGGCCAGGTGTTACCATATGCTAACTGTATTTTGGATAAATGAAAGCATTAATGTATTAAATAATTTCATTAAAAAATCTCTATTTCAGGTTTTCTGAATGCAGGATTCAAAGAAAAAGTAAAATTTAATGTATGTCCAGATTAGATGACTAGGACAGGCAAGATATTGGATTTAATGATCCTTACAATGATTTAAGTCAACTGCTTTTCTTAAAGATTTACCTGGATGAGTTGATCTTTCAGACGAAAAATTGGGAGACTTTCTCGCTGTTCAATTATTGACAGCTGTGTCTTTTTGCCATAAGAAGCCTTGTTGCCTCCAAAAGCATGCTTCTTCCATTCAGGTATGTCATTGGGCATCATACCAATACCCCGCATGTTGGCTGCAATTTGCCTTCCATCCACTGAGAAGGAAGAAAGAAGAATCATGAATCTGAGATAAATCCATAAAAGCACTGTACTGGGATTCCTCTCTACTCAATATATGTGATATCTATATCTGTCTATCTATATCAGACATGTCAAACACAACGCCCCGGGGCCGGATGCGACCCGCGAAGTGGTTTTATGTGGCCTGCGAAGCCATCCTGAAAACAGTGAGGGAATGGCCCCCGATGCCTTAGCCCTGGCCCAGGCCAGCCGGGAGCCAATGTACAATTTTGTGATGGCCATCTATGCTGAAACGCATTCAGTCTTACCTCCACAAGGCCATCTGGAAACAGTGAGGAACCAGCCCCTGCTGCATCGTCCCCTGGGTGCATGGTGCATTTCTTCATTCCTCCCCAGCTGCATTTCTTGCCTGTTTTCTCCCTCCCTCATCTCAAATATTTTCCCACCACTCTGTAGGAAGGAAGGAAGGAAGGAAGGAAGGAAGGAAGGAAGGAAGGAAGGAAGGAAGGAAGGAAGGAAGGAAGGAAGGAAGGAAGGAAGGAGAGGGAGGGTCTGAGGGAAGTCCTGCCTTAGTCCTGCCCTGCTGCCCTTTCACCATCCCCTTGCCCCCTCCTCCTGGCCTATCCTGGGGGTCTCCCATCCTATTGCTAAGGAAGCTTTGGATACAAAGCTGGGTCTCCTCCCATGGAGAGGGAATGGGTCTCCCTCTGACTTCGCCCTCGTACCCATCATGAGCAACCTGGGTAAGGAGAATAAGCACAGCAGCAGCACCCTTGAGGAGGAGGTAAGTGCAGCTGGGTGCCCCCTTGGGGAAGTGGGGCTGGGTTTGGTGCCGCGGGTGCTCGAGGGCCAGGCTGGGCGTTTGACCTCTACTGCCCAGGACTCCTGGCAGCCTGGACCACCATCAAGCCCTCCCCCCACATGGCCTGATAGGAAACAGTGAGGCTCCTCCAGTGGACCATGCCTTGGCACTTGTCCTGGTCCCACTCCGTTCTGCCAGAGACCCTCAGATCTGTCCCACTCCTGCCCAGGCCCCCACAGGCCCCCTCGAAGCGAATGATGTAGAGCTGGCCACGCCCACCCAGTAGGCCACACCTACTCCATCCACGCCCACCCAGTAGGCTGCACCCACCCTGGCCACACACCCCCGCCCCCCCGAGAACAACCGCAATGCTGATGCAGCCCTCAATGAAATTGAGTTTGACACCCTTGATCTATATGCATTACATATACATGTAAATTTATGCACATATATGGATTACATATATGTAAATTTATGCACATACATTTGCCAAAGCAAAATAATTTTAAAAAAGGGAAGGACCAGAAAAGAAATTGTATTAACTTATTAACACCAATTAAAATAATTGGTAGTTATTTATTCCATTAAAATAATAAAGTATCCCTTGTTAGGAGCCACGATTTAGAGTCTGACTCTGATCTTGAATGTGATGATATTGCTCCAGCTGAATCCATGCTTCAGAACTGTCAGCCTTAGGAATCACTGTCAGAATTCAATTGCAGTTGGTAAGTCACAGGCATTTCCTATTCAGCTGGAGCAATGTTCCTTAATGAGTAATTGCAGCTAACTGGTTGCAGACAGATTTAGGTCCTGTATGTGCAGTCCTTGCTGGACATAACTATTTTGCTATCCAGATCTTGAATTGTGTTCCTGCTTGTTTGGGACTCTTGACTCTTGACTGATTATCTGATTTGGCATCCTGGACTCTTGTTTTAGATTACAGGTAGTACTTGACTTATGACTTGTAATGGAGTTTGGCATTTCTAACATGAGTCATGATGGTTTTAAGTCAAAACAACGACATGACTGATCCAATTTTATAACTTTTTTGCAGTAGATGTTAAGTAAATGCTGCAGTCATTAAATGAGTCAATGTATTCCCAAGGGCACTCTTTTTACCAGGAACAGAAGGCCAGTTTCCAGCAAAAAGTATTGTAAATTGTGTCATGTCCCTGCAGAATACTGCAATTAGTTGTAAAGGTGACCTGGTTGCTAAGCCTCTGAAAGGCAGTCATGTGAGGAGACAAGCAATATATGTGCAGCCATTGGAATGCCAGAACTAGATTATGAGTACCTTTGGGGGAGTTGTCGTAACTTCAAATAATTGCTAAACAACCGGTTATTAAGCTAGAACTTGCTGTTTACATCTCCATTCATTCTGATAGCCATTCTGTATTTTCCCCCCGCAAATATAAGATTCTCCCCTTTCCTTTCTGAAAAATAATTATGGGAGGGGGACACTATGTTCTTCTCATTTTGTTAATATTTGAAAGGAATGGTGGAGGATGATGGATGAGCAATACTGTTTTTTCTATTTTACCTTTTGAGGTCGATAAAAGAGGACCAAGATTGTTGCGGGGAAAAAGCTGACTCTATAAACCGCCTAGAGACTGCTGTTAAGCACTATGAAGTGCTATATAAGTCTAAATGCTATTGCTATATGCATATGGAGAGTTCTTTGAACAATAGTTAGGACAAAGAGAAGGTATATCCAACCTGGCACTTTAGTTTCCTAGAATGAACTAACCAACCAGTAAAATACTTTATTTTGATAGAGATCATACTAAGAAAAATAGTGAATAAAGATGCTATTCAGGTCCAATTTACAAGCATCTCCATTCTAGGAGTTCAATGTTACAATCAATTAACAAGTGCTTGAGGATATGTTCAATCAGATGCTAGAAAACCATCTGCAGGGATGTTTTAATTTACATTCCTGAACTGAGTATGGAACTAGACATAATATAAATGGTCCTTTCTAACTACATGATTCCAGGAATCTAATAAAGAAAATAGGAAAAACAATCCTTAATAATAAGGAATGAGAAACTAGTCATGACTCAAAATATTTGTGTGTATATGTGTATAGTCACACACATACTAATTAAAAAAAACCCATAAACTTAATTCAATCTAACAAAATTGATACCACTTTTAAACCTCTTATACTATGTTGTTGTATTATTCTGAGATTCTATTTCATAGTACACTAATAGGGGAAAAACCTGGGCAATTTCCCAAACTAGAAACAGTTTTTTGTCAAGTAAACTGCCTAACACAGTGGTGGCAAACCTATGGCACGGGTGCCAGAGGCGGCACTCAGAGCCCTCTCTGTGGGCACGCGCACCATCGCCCCAGTCCTAGGCCTTCAGCTGGGTTTTATAAAACCTTTTCGCTTTAGGCTTCCGCCATGTGCAAAAAAAAAAAAAGAGGTTCAATCAGTCAATTTCAACTTCTTGAGGGAAAAAAAAAGATCTTGCAAAGTTGGAATTGATGAACTTTTTAGTCCCACCCAGTCTGCCATTATCACTGCAGCCACGCCCACCCAATTGGCACCACCCAGCCAATGGGGCACACCCACCCAGCACTCAATGATGCATAAGTGGGTTTTGGATTGCAGTTTGGGCACTCGGTCTCTAAAAGGTTCGCCATCACTGGCCTAACATATTGTATATTTAGATTTGAAATAAATATGAGTGTTAATTAGTTTCAAACAATTGCTTGTAGAAGATAAATAATATTGAAAAAAGGTTTGGGATTACCATCTGGAAGGGGATCCACCCAGTGTTTGTTGAGCCCCATGGGAATAGAATCCATCTCTGCTTCCCGCTGGGCTTGCTTTAGTTCTCGCCTCTCTTTAGCAAGTGCACTTTGCATCATGGCTGCTTGAGACAGGGAGCCATCAGGATTCTGGAATCAACAAGAAAATGTTGTATTATTTCTTGTTTCAGATTTCCTGAATCTGATCCTGACTGAAAGATGTGATTCTCAACAATCATCCCAAACATAAATGAATTGTATTTATGAATTGAAGAAAGCAGGGAGAACTTGACAGTCATACACAATTTTAACAGTGAAGAGGACAAAGCTTGAATACAGAGTCAGAAAACAGAAGGTGGACATTAACAAAAATAAAAAAGAGATTCCTGGAACTGATATAGATTATGAAAAGATGTGCTTTGCACATGTATATGGAAGGATCTGATGAGAAAGAGTATTAATTTGCTTTAAATGTCCTTCATTGTTCTACTGTACTTTTGATACTAAAAGCATTTTAACTTTTCACAAACCCATCTGAATCAGGTGTTCAAATATACTTCCCCATTTCTATGGAAAGAACCAAGAACAGTATTTCTTTACCTTCACAATTTTAATGGGGCTCATGTCCATGCTCTGCTTTGTATGACCTCGCAAAAATGGTGGTTCCTCCTCTACCAACTCAATTTCCAGATCCTCATCTAGAATAACAAATTAAATTCAGCTTTCTTAATTTAAAGCTTCTTAATTATGCCAACAAACTCATCCACTTTTTTTTTACCAACATAGAAAGCTAAATTTCATACAGATGTGGTGCAGCATTATTTCCTATTGTTGAACAGCCCCTCCACAATTTCATTTTAATACATCCCACAGTACTGGATTCTGGACTTCTGGGGATACAAAGATTATGAAAGAAACAATCTCTCTTCCATAACATGAAAGTATCTTAAGCAATTATCTGAACTGACAGCAATCTGCTGAAAAGAATCTGATTGAGCATCCCCAAATTCAACATAGAGCAAAAGTAACTAGTGTGTGAAATACACTGATGCATCATATCTAGACGATTACTGGATCCATCACGGTTTTACCTTCCTCATCATCAACCTTTGGCAAGATTCCAGTTTCTTCATCAAAGTCAGGAAACTCCTCCTTGGAAAGCACGTTAGCAGCAATCATCTGGGAACAAGCCAAATGGTTATATGTATCCTCAAAGACACAGCAAACAGGTACTAACCTTCTTTTCATAATGACATAGAATCTCACATAGAAGATGGAACTCCTTAATAGAAAATGAAATAAAACCTAGCTGTTCAGATGGATATGCCAAAAGTGTTAAGTTATCTATTAACTGCTATGAACCATAATAACTATAATGTTCTCATGTTCAGAGCAAGGTACCTCCATTTACCAATTTGTGCATGGGTCAATTTGGGATTGTTCTGTGTTATTTGCTTCAATCTGAAAAATGCAGTAAATTATCTTAATACTGTTTAGTAGCAGCATACATCCCAGATTTATGTAGGAAGGACTTTTAATATGAAAAACATCATAGCTGAGGAAGCTACTCAGATTTTGTGATCATCTGTTAAATTTCATTTCAAAAGAGTATGAATGTCTCAAATAATGGCTTAACAGGAATACAGTATAATACGAAAGTTCTGTCAGGATACTACTTTATAGCATCTTAGAAAAGAGGAGAAGGATTTCTCAAGATGACTTACTACATGTAAGGAATCTTCAACTTATGACCAGTTGCTTAACAACTGTTTGAAGTTAAAAGAGATGCCCCCAAAACTACTGATAATCCCATTTCAAAGTTATGGTCACTGCCAATCTCCCACCACCATCCTTTCCTGCAAGTCTTGGTTCCTTCAACAAGAGATGGAGAGGAGGCCCACCAGGTCCCCGCAAGACGTAGGCTTCTTCTCCATCTCCTGCCACTCATCGCATGCTTACCTTTTGAAGATCTCCAGAGCTGCCAACCTCACATTGGGGAAGGATGGCAGGTCACTCCATCACTCAGCATCCCTGGGCTGCATGACTGTATCCCAGAAGCAGCTGCCATTTCAGTGTATAGCCTCACTCTATTTCCCTAATCCAGTCTGCACAGCACTGACATAGTGGCTACACTGAAATGGCAGCTGCTTCTATGACATGGCAGCATGGCCCAGAAATGCTGAGGGACAAAGTGGCCTGCCATCCTCCCCCAACATGGGGTTCAGAGCTCCAGAGATCTTCAAAAGATAAGTGCACAATGGATGACGAGAGGGTGCAGAAGAGGCCCAAATCCTGTGGGGAACTGATGAAGAAGTAAGTAGTCCCAAGGACTGTGTGACCTTAAACAAGACACAGATTAATTTACATAATAACAAGCACTTCATCCACTATCTATCATATTATACAGAGCTTTAAAGATTAAAATGAGAATACTGAATTGCGTATTATAATGTAAAGTATGATAAATAAAGCTTTGAATAACAAAACTGGCATCCTCATTAATGAGATGTATTCTCTGGGCAGTCTCAAACATAATCTAGTTATCACATTATTTACCACTTGTGGTTTCTGAACAGTCTTCAATGGTCATCTTTATCACGTACTGCAATAATTAAACTGGATGGCTTTAATAGAAAATGGAAAACAATGGCCAAGCTTCATGATCAGCTGACAGTCTAGAGCAGAATTACAGGATACTGACTTGGCCATTGGTTCATATTGGAATACCTAATATACAGTTTGTTGAGAAAATGGCTGAAAGTCTTCTTTGGTATCAACAGAAAGAAATACAAATACGTATTTAAAAGAAAAACTGTTAAAATCCTGGGCTTTTTGTTAGGTGTCAGGTCAGAATTGGGTGATGAATTCCACAGGCTGCTTAGCAATTGCAAAACGTTCTGTATTTACAGCAGCCAAAAACAAAGCAAAATAAAAAAAGCAAATGAGAATTTATTCATAGTCAATTCTCCCATTAAGCTATAAAATAACATCAAAGCATATTCTATTATGAAAAATTATTACCTGCTTAATTTCCCATTTTTCTGGATCTGAAATACGAGTGAGACGCTTTCGTTCTAGTGTGTCATCTTCTACTTCAGGAGCACTGACTAAGGATAAGTGAGTGGGTCTGTCTGGATTTCTCATGGCTGTCTCTTCAGACTCTCCAATGAGGTTGCGACGTCTGTTTGGGTTCAAATCTTCTCCTGTCTCTTGGTCTACATCCTAATTCAGACACGGGAGACAGTTCCATAGTATAATAAGAATTTACCTTTGTATAAGGGCACTGAGAGTTTAGTTTTGTAATTAATCTGCAACAAGGCATATTCCCAGATGAGCAATTTACAACATGTCTAATAGTGATCACAAATGTTTTTATCTTGGAAAGCATCAGAGGAAAGCATCATATAACAGAAAATAGCAGGGGCGTCTGTGTTTGTAGCTATATAATTGGTTGATAATCTTTGACCTTGAACTCACATAGTGCTTTAGAATAGCCCCAGTTACACTTTTTTCATTTTTTCTTTCAAACATTCAAGAAAAGCTGATTATTAATAGAATAGTATTAATAATATAGCAAGAGAGGGGAGATAAGGAGCTTGACAATCAATCTTTTTAAATAATATCTGGAATATCCGATGGATATGAGGGTGTTTTGTGCTGAATCTTAAAATCATAAGAAACATACTTAAAATTCTTTAAACAACTCACTTGTTAATAAGAAATAGTCCAACTCCAATAGTCCAGAATTCCTAATATTCCTAATAATATCAATAGTGATATTGTTTTTTATAACTCAGATTCAAAGCTATCTACAACATATTCTGAAACTAATAGTCCTTCTAGAGTTTTAGACATGACTAATGCATCCTGACCAAGCAGTGAAATCAAGAATGTGTTAAATAAATATATTGCCAATAACAACTTTAAACAATCCAAATTTCTCTTACAATAACTCAAATGTTTTTTTAAAAAAATAGCTTGACAAATAAGCTGAACTAAAGTATTAATGCCAATACTCAGCCATTATTTCCAAAAAAGATCAAAAAGCTACGCCTGCATTTTTCAAGTTGTGATTAATGCAGCACATAAATCTGTCATGTAAGTAGCAGTTTCTGTTCTAACATCTCACAAATAGAAGGAAATACAACAGAGTTATGGCAAAAATAAGTTTCTGTTCGTTTCTGATGTCAAAATGTCATAGCAGTCAAACAATATTTTCTAATTGTACTCATGGTGGTCTGTATTTTACTCAATCACTTGCATTCCACTCAGAAACGGAACTCAAAACAAATGCCCAATAGTAGAGCTAGAAGTCAGGAGAGTAAGTCAAATTATTTAATAGACAATAGAGAGGTTTGACTTACTTTCATGCTAAGGCTAGTTTTTGAGCCAGTGAAGGAGAGTACTTTGACCTTGACCCGCTGGCCCTTGCTCACTACATCAGCCACATTAGCAACTCTTCCTTCCCTACGTAATTCCGAGATGTGGACCAGTCCTTCCCAGCGTTTCCTAAGGGAATAAGACACAGGAAGAGGAGCAAGAATAACTCAGTGCTGTATGCTATACCAAAAGCACAAACTATTTTAGAAACATTAGTTCTTCCTGCACAAAGTCATGAAGCTTAATAATAGTGATACCCGTGTTTCCCCCAAAATAAGACCAGGTCTTATATTTATTTTTGGTCCAAAAAACCCATTAGGCTTATTTTTGGGGAATATCTTATTTTTCTGGGAGGCGGTAAGCACTTGGGGACTGAAGGTGTCTGGCAGCAGTCGCAGCCCACTGGCCCCTTAGCTGGTGCATTCGGGCTGTGAATGCCACGCAGTGCAGGTAAGTGGGAGCACTGCTACCACTGGGATGGGCCGGGCCCTGTCGGATGCACCGTCTGCACACTCTGTCCCACTGTCTGGTTGCTTGCAGCCACAACGGCTTACAGGGCTTCCCAGGGCAGATGCTTGGGAGGCAGCGGCAGTGCCAGCGGAATGCACCCTTCAGGTAAGGAGAGAGGCGGGAGCACTCGAAGGACCAGGTAGCCCTCTGCAGCTTCGGCAGCTGTCTGGCAGGCAAAGGGAGGTGGCTGCGGCTGGCGGGCCAGTGCCATTGCTGCAAGGTGAGGCAGGTGGCAGGGGTACGTGGTGCTGCCCCATGCACCCTTGCAGCCAGGCCACTCCCTGCTTGGTGACCTGCTCCCGCACGTTCAATGACCTGGTTGCCTGCCAGCGTCTTCCCTTTCACCCACTCCCAAGCCAGACTGCCATGCCACGGAGGATGGGTGGGGGAGGCTCAGTCCCCTTACCTGTTCCGCTTCCACCGTTTCGGAGCCAGGGGGAAGTGACAGCGAAAGTCTTTGGAGGCTGGTGGTAGGTTCTCTGCATTGTCCCTGGGCTAGTGGTTTCGGCCCCCTAGCCCCCTTCCCAGTTCTGCCCACACAGTCACAAGAAAATTGGCGGCTGGAGTCACGACAGCGAGATCTTTGGAACGCCCCTGCTGCCAGCCCTGGTACTGTCCTTCAGAGCCATTGATACCATACAATATAGATGGCGAACGGGGAGCAGGCAGCATGAGGCGGTGCTGCAGAACCCAAATGGCAGGTGGTGGAGGAGGCAGCGGCTGCCACCGGGAAGGTAATCTGCGGGACGGGGTGAAGCGGGGGCGGCAAGGACCCTTCAGCGGTGAACGCAGCTGTTGCACAGTGGTGGCAGAGGTCTTTCATTGTCACTCCCCCTGGCTCCGAAACAGCAAAAGGGGACAGGGTAAAGGGACAGAGCCTCCCCTGCCCATCTTCTGTAGCAAGGCAGTCCGGCTCGGGAGGAGAGTGAAAGTGAAGAGGCGGCCGGCCGGCCAGGCAGGTCATTGAATGGACAGGGGGAGGTAGCCGAATGGGGAGTGGTCAGGATGTGGGGGACATGTGGGGCAGCTCCACACACACAGCGCCACCTGCCTTGCCTCATGGTGATGGCAGCAGTGCCTCCTGTCTCCTGCCCTGTTGCGGCAGCGAGCAACCAGGTGGTGGAACGGAGTGGGCGGACTCTTAACTAGGGGTTATTTTGGGGGTAGGGTTTATATTATGTGCGTGCTAAAAAATCATTTTCTGGGTGGGTCTTATTTTGAGGGAAACACGTAATAATACTATTAGCTGAAATATTTGATTTGTATCCTAATCTTAAAAAAGCTTGCTTAAAAATTCCTTGGTATTTACAAGAAGCAATTCACTCCTACATAGCTTTCCTGACTACTGGCTAATGATTTCAATTAAAATATAAGGCAATTTTATAAAAACTAGCAAAGAAGCCTTAAAAATAACATAAAACCTTTCTTCAAGGGTTAACATATACAATATACATGAAATCAAAAAATTTGAATTGTTTATAGCAGGGCTTTTCAACCTTTTCACCCATTGTGCCACTTTTAGGATATGGCAACATCCGAGTACCACCAGTCGCCTAGCAAGGTGTCAAATACTTGATGACCAAAAAAAAAAAAAAAAAAAAAAGGAAAAAAGTGATAAAGTACAGGTAGTCCTCGACTTACAACAGTTCGCTTAGTGACTGTTCAAAGTTACAATGGCACTGAAAAAAGTGCCCCCCAAGCCACAGTCGAGCAAGACACCTGCCTGCCCACCCGGCTGCACTCTTCCTCCTGTCCAAGGTTTTCATTGTTGTGAGCATTTCTGTTGAGGATTGGCAGCGGGGGTGGGGTAGGGGGGTGTTTGATTTTTATTCTCCCCCCCCCCTCTGCTGGGTGGTTGCAGCAGGTTTTGGTCACTTCACATGACCCTGGGACCCTGTGACCGTCATAAATATGAATAAGTTGCCAAGCATCTGAATATAAATCACAAGACCCTGGAGATGCTGCAACATTCCAGCTGATCAGTGCTTCTTCTGGGCTCAGCAGAAGCGCCAGGATCAGTGCTGTTTTCCAGCTGATTGGTGCTTCTTCAGGGCTCAGCAGAAGCACCAGGATCAGTGCCGAGCTCCAGCTGGAGCCTGGCATTGATCCTGGTGCTTCCGCTGAGCCCTGACAGCCCTGCAGCTCCAACCATCTCTTGCTCAGCTTTGTGCGGTGCTGCCACCAGTTCAGCTCATTCCCCTCCCCCGCTACTTTTCTAGGATGGTCGCGTACCACCTGCCAAGTGCCAATGTACCACAGGTGGTACCCATACCACTGGTTGAAAAGCCCTGGTTTATAGCAATGGTTATTACACTAAAAAGGCATTGCCCAACTTACAATACTTTTTGAATTGTATCAATACTTTTTAAATTGTTATCAACTTTCAGCAGGATAGGGAAATGATGACATCACATACCTAAGTCCTTCAAGCTGAACAAAACACCCAAACTGCATAATGCTGGTAACTTTGCCATTGTAGATATCACCAATGGAAGGCTCTTCGGGTGGAGGACGATCCACATGCTTATCCCTCCATCTTTCACTGCTTTTCTCTCCAGCTCTCTCTCTTTCTTTGCGGTCCCAGCTAGGACTTCTGCTCCTGGAACGGTATCTGGATTTACCCTTATGTCGTTCCCTTGTCCGGGAGTGAGAGAATGATTTTCGTTTCCGCTTTCGATCTCTACTACGACTGCGACTCCTATGCTTTTTCCTGGCTCTAGCAACAAAAGATACTGAAATTATGCTCATTTCTACTTAGATGCCAGTCACCACAATATAACTTAGAGATGTTTGTATGGATCCCAAGAGTCACTACTGTTTGGATGATTTATCTGTGATGCTCAATGGAGACTCCTTTATTCTTCTACAGTATTTTTTGCTCTTTTATGTTTTTTTGTTGCATCAGATATATTTATAACAATTGCAACTTTATAATACTTTGGATACAAAGGGAAAGCAAACAAAACACTGTTTCTTCTTTCAGATATTAGATAGCACGAGACTAGATAACTAGCATTTATCACTCAGTTGGTTTTGTGCTTAATATGGGACTAGAAGTCAGTCTCCTGGTTTCTAGCCTCTTAACCACCACACCAAACTGGCTCTTGATATAAAGCTACTGGCAGGCAACAAGGGGTAGGCAACTTGGACCCATTTCCTACCGAAAACAAAACACTGGGAGCCGCAAAACCCTTTTGATATCTAAAATGAAGATAACACTGCATATATCCTGTTTTACCTTTATTATATAGGTGTGTGTGTGTATCTATCATAAAGGTAAAAAAGGATATATGCAGTGTTATCATTTTAGATGTCAAAAGGGTCTCTCTCCCTCCCTCCCTCCCTCTCCCTCTCTCTCTTTCTGCCCTTGGTCTGCCAGTCCTCTTCCCCCACTCTCTTTCTCTCTCTCTCCCTCTCTCTCTCCCTCTCTCTTTCTCTCCCTCTCTCTCTCTCTCCTCCCCTCTCTCCCTCTCTCCGATCTTCTGCTCACCTGGCAAGCTGGCTTCAAGCTGTTCTCCAACAAGCTCAGGGGTAGGCAACCTCGGCTCTTTTATGACTCATGGACTTCAACTCCCAGAATTCCTGAGCCAGCATAGCTGGGCTACCTAGCTCTCTCCTGCCCTTCCTGCTTCGACGCAGCCAAGGCAGGAGCCCTGCCCAGTAAGCTTTTCGGCTCATGGAACAGGGTGAGGCCACTCTTTTTTTTTACACACACACACACAAACACACACACACACACACACACAGAGAGAGAGAGAGAGAGAGAGAGAGAGAGAGAGAGAGAGAGAGAGAGAGAGAGAGAGAGAGAGAGAGAGAGAGAGAGAGGGAGAAGGGAAGCGCAAGTGCCTCTCTCTGTCTCTGTCTCTCTCTCTGCAAATGGCAGAGGAGGCTGGGAGCTGCAGGGGAAGGCTCAAAGAGCTGCATGCGGCTCCGGAGCCGCAGGTTGCTGACCTGTGTACTAAGAGAAGAATACCGATAGCTGTTAATAACACAGAAATAAAAACCTGAGTATTGTATTACATCTTTACTACAGACTGCACCTTTATTTCGACTAATCTATTTGCAATTTTTTGAAAAGATGCTTCATCTAATATAAAAATATAATCTATGATTTTTAAGGTGAACAAATTTTTCTCAGAGAAATAAGACAAAAGGAACTTACTGATCCTCCTTATTCCGGTGTTTTTCCTGCCTGCCTGCAGACGGCATTAAAGCTTCTAGCTCTTGGAGAGCATCGGCAGCCACTTTCACATCATCTTCATCCAACATTGTCTGTTCAAGAAGAAAAAGTCCTTAGGGCAGCAAGATATCCCCTCAGCAATTCTCTTAAGCCTATATGAGGGCAGTTGCCATGTGGCCTATGTACACCCTACTTGGGAAACAAATATCATAACTTTTTGTTTTTGGTCACAGCAATGTGGCATTTCTGTAAAACAGATTTCATTTTCAGAAATGCAGTGATTCATCAACTAAGTAACATCACTGTGAATAAACACAATCTGGTACAAATAATACTTAGAAAATGGAGTAGATATTAGTCAAATCAAGTTGCAATTCACTTTTTTAAGATAACAACACCCTACAATAAATCGGCCTACAGCTTTCAATGATCTTATTTTTTCCTTAAATATAAATGTTTGTATGCTATTTAGTTGACATGTCTTGGAATTCTCACAAGTATTCTGATAAAGGGCCAGGTAATCACCTATCTCTGATTGTTTCTGTCCATTCCAGAGAATCCAACAGGATGGGCATGCTTTGGGTCTCCTCTATAAAAGTATGCCACCGAGCAGGATCTGAGAAGTGTGGCTCAATTGTCACAATATCTGCCCTCTAGAAAATCAAACCACCCAGGATTTGGATAGCCCCAACCCTGCTAGCCTTTTGTAAGGCTTTGAAAATCATACGGATGATTGAAAAAGGCCTTGAAAATTACCCGAACTTATTGGGAGTCAGGCAGCATATAAATTACATTAATAAAAATATGATTTCAACTACATTTTAGCCTCAGTGGTTTTGTGCTCTATATATTGTTGATTATTTTGTTTTGTGTTTTTAATCCTATGCCAACAGCCCAGAGTCAAATGTGCAAGTTGGACAACCACATAAGTCCATTAAGTAAATAAATAAAGTTAACAAAATAATTTCCAAGCAACCCTTTGAATAGATATTAGCAATTAACAAGACATATATTCAAACCAAACCAGCATCACCCCAAAGAGAGAGAGAGATTAAATAGCAGATCTGTATCAATTTAGGACAGCAGACATTTTTCTATTGCTGTGGGGGAGTGCATTTTTTATTCATCCTGAAAACTTCCTTCACTGGCTATATGTAACTTTTTCCCTCCAATGCTCTTTTAACTAACAGTATGTGTGATGTCTTGCACAGAATTTTTGCTATGTTGCTCCCAATTGTTTTCTCATTGTTACACTGGCAGTTTGTGGCAGGATCTTGTATTTATGGCAGTATCCTTGCAGTTATGTGATTGCAATTTGTGATATTCCCTACCAACTTCCCACAAGCAAAATTAATGGGGAAGCACGCAGAAAGTCAGAAGGGAGGTCCTTACTTAACCATCTGCACAGTCCTTGCTTAATGATGGACTGCTGTAACTGCCACTGCTACGGTAAGTAGCACAGTCATGTGATTTTCCAACTTATGACATGTCACTTAATGACAGAGTTCCTGGTCTCAATTACTATCAGTAAGCAAGTATTCTCAACTTCTTTTACTCTCAATGTATTTGTCAGCAAAAAAGGAAACTCACACACTTACCCTCACCATGGGATTATCTGGCCGACACAAGGCTGGAAACAACTCCTTCAGCTTGTCTTTTTCTGTTTTTGGTTTAATAATATCTAATGTGATAGAAAAACAAAACACCACATAAATTTAAAAATATTTTTCTTATGTCACAAGAAATGTTTCTATTTTTTAAAACTCTTTGAAAAATATTCTTTATCTTTCTTTCCTGTTAGTCATATTGGAAAGTTTGGATAATGTGAACAGGATAGGAAAAGTGATATTTAGGAGATTGTATCCCAAAAATATTCACAGAATTTGACACAGCTCCAGAGAGTCTTGTAATCTAGTCACTCTCTATTAGGAATAAGCAACAAACCTGCTCTCAAAAATCTCCACTGTTCTATCAAAATGTGGCAATATTTTTTTGCTCACAATTTCACAAAATGGAAAATTATATTTTCATTTATATATCCTGCTTATGTTGTATCATATGCCCTGGAAAGGCAAGTGCTTATTTTTTGAAGGCATCTTTCACTTGAAAAGTCTACCTTCATTTTAACAAGGTCAAATGCTTGGGATAGCAAGGAACCATTCATTGAAAGTCTGCAAGTAATGGCAGCAATCCAGGGTCTTTTGCAAGACTAAATAACATGAGAATAACAATCCTTACAATAGATATTCCATAATCTGTTTTGGCCTCTAAACATACAGGACAGGTTTGTCTGCCACATTTATTTTAAAACTTTATAATTTCAATGACTAAAAACCATTTTTTAATTTTTATTGCAACTTTCTTTTCTCAGGTAACAAATTAATCCACGTCCACAAAGATTTCTTACAATTGATGAATGGCAAAAAAATATTAACCTTTGCTAGTGGAAGCTTTTGCAGGAGGCCGCATTGTCTGTATAAGACGGAGCAGATTGCTGATGAGGGAATCCTGAAATATAAAGAAAAAGAAAACAAAATTTCTAGAAGCTGCAAAACATTTTAGTAAAATGTCCATAGCAATAAAGCCAACATCTCTCCCTACAGCATACTGTACTATATTTTTTCTGGGTTGATGACACTTTGATCTTTGAATGGCTTGATACAGATCCACTCAAGAAAGTAAGGAACAGACAAAATGTTTATTTTGATTACTGTTAATATGAATATTTTTTATTATATATTCTTTTCATGGCCTATTTGAGGTTACAATTTGGTAATATGTTTGGATCTTGTATTCAAGTATTTGGGAGACTCAAGGGTGTCCCTTGAGTCTCAGATTATATATTCCTGATATGCCACATGATAGCTTCAAAAGATTTTAACAATTCCTTACTGTGAACTCAGCACCATTCTTCACCAGAGCTGTTTTGAAAGTATCGAAGTTTGTATTTCTCTCTGCAAGATTTATCACAAATTCGGCTGTAAACAGAAAAATTAAGAGAAATTCATGCTGAAATTATTTAGACATTCAATTCTACTTTATTCATTTCATTTTATGGCTACCCACTGTGAATAACAGCAGCCAATAATCAATTGAAAAACAAGGAAATAATTAAAAAAATAAACATCACCTTTAGCATGAATCATAATGCACACATTTCCGTTAAAATGTAGCCCAGATATTCAACACCTTAGAAAAAGCTGGCAAGATTGGGAGCATGCTGTTCCATAGGATGGGCACCATAATAGAGAAGGCACACTTTCTGAGTACCATTACATGATGCTGTTTGATAGAAGGGATTTATAGAGGGGACAGGAAGAAATAACTAGAGACAGTGACACAAATAACCTGGTTCCATACTATGAATAACTTAATAAATGATAACCAGAATCTTGAATAGCATAGCACAGTGGTGGCGAGCCTATGGCACGCATGCCAGAGGCGGCACTCAGAGCCCTCTCTGTGGGCACGTGCGCTGCCGCTACCAGCAGCTTCCGCAGGTCCATTAAGCCACCGCTGCCTGGAGCAGCAGCCCCCCCCCAGCATAAAGGAGGCCAAGTGCCCACACCCAGCAAGCCAAAGGCCACCCTGAGCAAGGAAAGCTGGATCCCCATCGGCGCCATGGCCCCCCAGTCCCAGCTAGGATTGCATGCCTCCCCCAATCTATGCTGGACATCCTGCCCACCACCCCACCCACCAGAGACCCCCTGGATCTCCCCAAACCCTGCCCGGCCCCCACAGGCGTGCCCCCCATGAGCAACATCGAGATGGCCATGCCCACCCCAGCCACGCCCACCCAGTTGGCCATGACAACCACAGCCATGCCCACCCAGTGGGCCACCCCCACCCAGTGGGCCATGCCCCCATGCCCCCCCTGAGGGCACCACAATGCTGATGCGGCCCTGGCACTTTGCGATAAATAAGTGGGTTTTGGGTTGTGGTTTGGGCACTCGGTCTCTAAAAGGTTCGCCATCACTGGCATAGCATGATTAACAATACTGCAAGTTGCCAAAAAAAAAAATTAGTATGAGAATGCATTTATCATCAGATTAGGTGAAACCTGGCTCAATACCAGTAACCTTGAGAGGGATTTTGGAGTCCTAGTAGACAATCAAATATGAGCCAGTTGTGTGTGGCAGCAGCCAAAACAGCCAATGCAATCCTAGGTTGTATTAATAGGATAGAATCAAGATCATGTGAAGTATTAGTACTGCTTTATAAAGTCTTAGTAAGATCATACTTAGAATACTATGTCCAGTTTTGATCACATTATAAAAAAGATGAGACTCTGGAAAGAGTGCCGAAAAGTACAACAAAGATGATTGGGGACTGGAGGCTAAAATATATGAAGAACAGTTACAGTAATTAGGTATATTTAGTTTAGGGAAAAGAAGGACTAGGGCAGTGATTGCGAACCTTTTAAAGACTGAGTGCCCAAACTGCAACCCAAACCCCATTTATTTTTTGTCGGGTACCGGATAGGCGTGGCCAGCTCAACATCACTTGCGTCAGGCGCGCTTGTACAGGCCTGGGCAAGACTGGGGCAGATCTAAGGGTCTCCGGCAGGGTGGGACAGGGGTGAGCGCCAGGACTGGAGGAGCCTCACTGAGCCTCAGGCCATGCAGGGGGCTCCTGGACGGTGGCAAGGACTGCCTGGAGCGCTAGGCAGCAGAGGTCAAGCACCCAGCCCGGTCCTTGAGCTCTCACGGCACCAGGACCCCACAGCCCTGCCTACCCTAGCCGCACTTCCCCGAGGGGGTGCCCAGCTGCGTTTACCTCCTCCTCAAGGCTACTGCTTCTATGCTCGCTCTCCTTGGCCAGGTTGCTCATGGTGGGTGCAGGAGGGCAAAGTGCGTGGGTCAGAGGGAGGCCCACTCTCTCTCCATGCAAGGAGACCTGACTTTGTAACCAAAGCATCCTCAGCAATAGGATGGGAGACCACCAGGAGATGGCGAAAGGGCAACAGGGCTACTGGTGGCCAAGTGCTAAGGTAGGACTTCTCTCAGACCCTCCCTCTCTCTTATTCCAATCTCCTTCCTTCCTTCCTCCCTCCCTCCCTCCCCTCTTTCTCTGCCTCCCTCCTTTTCATTCCCATCTCCTTCCTTCTTCCCTTCCCTTTTCTTTCTTCCTGTTTCCCTCCTCTCCTTCCCTCTCTCTGTGCCCAGGAAGGGACAAGGGGAGGGGGAGAGGTTGGTAGCGCTTCTCTCAAGGAGTGTTGGGAGACACCTTTCAGGTCTTTAGTCCAAGCTCCTGCTCAAGCAGGGGACGTATACCATTCCAGACAATGGAATATCCAATCTCTACTTAAAACCCTCCAGTGATGGAGCATCCACAACTTCTGAAGGCAAGCCTTTTCACTGGTTAGTTGTTTTCACAAGTCCTTAGTTCTAGGCTGGTTTTCTTCTTGATTAGTTTCCATCTATTATTGCCTTCTGATGCTTTGAAAAGTAGGTTGACCCCTTTTTCTCTGTGGCAGTCATCAAATATTAGAACACTGCTATCATGTCACCACTACTAGTCCTTTTTACTAAGCTAGACACACCCAATTCCCACAAACATTTGTCATATGTTTTAGCCTCCAGCCCCCTTAATCATCTATGTTTATCATCCATTTAGACCGGATGGTCCCCCTGGTTTGGTTTAAAGAACAGTGGCCATGAGCAGAGCCTTCTCAGAGACAGCACCCCCGTTATAGAACTTTCTCTCAAGAAAAATATGAACAGTGCATCCCTCACCCATTTAGAGGCAACTCCAAACACTGTTCAGCCAGGCATATGTAGAACAACACCACATTTTATGGTCAAACAGCACTGAGTAAATTACTACTAATATTTTTCTTTTGTAAAATACACACTTTTAATATTGTTTAAGCCAGGGCTTTTCAACCAGTGGTATGGGTACCACTTGTGGTACATTGGTAGCTGGCAGGTGGTACGCGACCATCCTAGAAAATTAGCAGGGGAGGGGAATGAACTGAACCGGTGGCAGCACCGCACAAGCCTGAGCAAGAGACGGTTGGAGCTGCAAGGCTGTCAGGGCTTAGTGGAAGCGCCAGGACCAGTGTTGCTTTCCAGCTGATCGGCGCTTCTTCGGGGCTGTCAGGACTCAGTGGAAGCACCAGGATCAGCGCCAGGCTCCAGCTGGATTAAATTATAAAAGAGCAGATGAGAGGAAGTAGAAGCAAGAAACACTTTGCACGTCTCCGACAAAATAATTGGGGGGGGGAGCTGACTTGGCCTTTTAATTTCAACTCACGCCAATTCCTCTTAACTTCCCATTCAATCCAATGAGTTCTATTATTGGCTGGATTTTAGGGAGGGGAGGCGGCAAGAATAGACCACAAAGCCAATCTGTGAGTTTGCTCTCGCCTACCTGCACACTACCTCCCCGATGCAGCACATGTGTGTGTGTGTGTGTGTGTGTGTATGTGAGACACAGAGAGAGAGAGATCCCCTTTTTGTAAGTTTGCTTACTCTGCAAAACTTTCCTTTCTCCACACTTTCGCTTCCCTGCTGGCTCAATCTCTCTTTCTCTCTCTCCCTCACACATAAAAACTCTCCCTGCTTCCCCCCCCTTCTCCTCCAGCTGCACCTGAACGGAGTGGGAGGAGGTTAAAAAAAAGAGAAGGAGGGAAGAAAGGGGGAAGCTCCCCTTTTTTGTAACACCTCAGCTTCCTCCTCCTCCTCTTCCCCTCCTGGCGCTCTCTCTGTCTCTCTGTCTCCATACACACACACACATACACACACAAACCCTTCCTGCTTTCTCCTCCTTCTCACCCTTTCTCTCCAGCCGCCACACATTGCTGGCCACCAGCAGTTCCATGCTGCGGCTCTGCATGACTGCTGTATTCCCCTCTCCGTCCCTACAATGTGGCGGAGAGGGCGAATGGGAGCCAGCCAATGCTCGGCTTGTGCCACTGCGCACTCCCATCTCCCATCACACAGCTGCGATGTGCAAGGCGGCAAACGGCCGGTTTCAGCATGGCGCGGCTGTTTGCCTCTGGCCAGTTTCGGCGTGGCACAGCTGTTTGCCTCTGTGACGTGGCACAACTGTTTGCCTCCGGCCAAAACAGGCCATTTGCCACCTCGCGTATTGTGCCCAATGCAGCTGTGGAACAAGTGGGGCATGTTTCCTCCCCACCTGCCACACGGATCGCTGTGCCGCTGTCGCCGTTTCCCTCCCACCCACCGTATAGATTGCCCTGCCCCGTTTCCGTTTCCCCCCACCCGCTGTACAGATCGTCCTGCCGCTGCCATTTCCCCGCACCCGCTGCATGATTGCCGTGCCACCGTCGGTTCCCCCCACCCCCATGGATCGCTCTGCTGCCGCTGCCGTTTCCCTCCCACCCCCCCGCACTGATCGCCCTGCTGCCGCCTGGGGAGTGCTGAAACTCACCTGCAAGTCCGGAGCACTGGAGTTTCCCGGTGTAGCTGTGCCAAGCCATGCCACCAGGCTTCCCAGTGGCCAGCAGAAGGGAGATCGTGGCAAGAGCAATCTTTTTCCCCATTCCCTCCCTGGCCCTTGAGCTCGTCTAGACATCTCTTTCTCTGCGCCGCTTCTGGCTTCTCACCTCTCCCCACCCAGTTCTTGCAGCTGCTCCCTGGCTCCCGGTGCAAAGAAAGAAAGCAAAAGCCCTGGCGCATGTGGAGAGGGGGAGGAGAGCAGCCCGGCCCTGCCTCCCTCTGGGGCGATGGCGTGCATGCCCATAGAGACGGCTCTGCGTGCCACCTGTGGCACGCGTGCCATAAGTTCGCCATCACGGGACTAGGGTGATATGATTGTAATTCCAATATTTGAGGGGCTGCTGCAAGGAAGAGGGGGTCAACGTATTCTCCAATGCACCTGAAGGTAGGACAAGAAGCAATGGATGGAAACTAATCAAGAAGAGTTCCAATTTAGCAGTAAGGAGAAATTTCCTAACAGTGACATCAGTCAACCAGGGGAACAGCTATGGGTGTTCCATCACTGGAGGTTTTTAAGAAGAGACTAGACAGTCACTTGTCTGAAATGGTATAGGTTCTCCTGCTTGAGCAAGGGGCTGGACCTCCAAGGTCCCTTCCAGCTCTATTCTACTGTACTCTACTCTATTCTCTTTCTGCTTCAGTAGGGGATTGGACCAGAAGACCTCCAAGGTCCCTTCCAACTGTTATTCTGTTATTCTCTCCGGAGATGATCAAATACAATCAATATCTCACTATGCCCAGGTCTTCAACCCTGATGAAAGGGAATTAAATAATCAGTTTCTTCCAGGGTTCTCTGAAGCCACTGCCTGACCACTTTTCCTACAACTTTCACCAAGAATGGAAGGGCAAGAATTCTCCAATAGTATTTGGTCCAGTTACAGTTCCTGAAGCAGGATGAACTATCCCCTCAATTGTTGGTGGTGCTACTCACTCTCTCAAGAACAAATTACCACTACATGGATATAAAATATAAGTGGCCAACCTTACAGATTTGGGGATCTTGTTCACTTCCTTGGGATCAAAAACTTAATAGAATAAATATTTTGATTAGTCTAGCGTGATTGGACACAAAAGGAATTTGTCTCTTTTGCATAAGCTCTCAGTAGACATACAAAGTCTACTGAAACATAAGTCATAAGATACAATCATAAATCATAAGATAAAACAACAAAGAGATGTCATAAGATACCAATAGGGGAAAGTAATAGGAAAGATGAGAAGGATAATAGCAATACAGTCCTACTATATGGGTAAATATCCTTAGATAAGACAGTGCTGTGGGAATTAGGTGTTTCGTAGAGTGATGGCATGGGAAAAAAGCTGTCTTTGTGTCCAGTTGTTTTGGCAAGCAATGTCCTATAATGGCATTTTTAGGGGAGAAATGGAAACTGTTTACTTTCAGGATGTGAGAAGTCTGTAGATATTTTCTTAGCCCTCTTTCTGGCTTGTACTGTATATAGGTCCTCAGTGGAGGGCAAGCTGGTTGCGATTGTTTTTTCTGCAGTCCTAACTATCCACTGAAGTGTGTGCCTATCCTGTTTGGTTGCTGTGCCAAACCAATTATAGTAGTACAAATGACAGACTCAGTAATTCCTCTGTAGGACTGAACCAACAAGTGCTTGGGCAGCCTGAGCTTTCTGAGTTGACGCAGGAATAACAATCTTTGTTGTGCCTTTTTAATTATTCTAATGTAAGGTATCCATCTCAAGTCCTTACTATAGAAGATTACAGAACCCAGAAACTTGAAGGTCTCTACTGTTGATACTGTACTGTCTAATATTGTAAGAGGTGGTAGAATAGGACAGTTTCTCCTAAAATCTATAATCTCTACACTTTTAAGTGTGTTCAGCTCCAGATTGTTCCATTGCACCAAAGGGACAGTTGTTAAACCTCCTGTCTGTATGCAGATTCACCACCATCTTGAATGAAATTAATGACTTCAGTATTTTAACAGTACTCTTTACAACTTAAATTGGGATAGCGTAAATACTTAAATTGGGATAGCTAACAACTGCTTCCACCTCTGCCATTGATTAACAGAAACAGAGCATCACAATTAATTTCTCTAAGCCAGACCATATAAATAGGGTGTACACAGTAGAGTCTACTGTGTCTGCTTATATCTAAGAGTATATGGAGGATGTCAGTGTTCTTAAATCTATTATCATGCAAGCAAATTGAAGGTGAGAAACACCGCTTTCAAATCAGGTGATGTGGCAGCACTTAGAATAGCAAGAGGTGATCTGAGATGGCCCTATAATCAGAAACTGCAGAATTTCTTTCAAGATCCAATGGACCCGAGACGTATGTGGCAAGGCATCCAGGTAATTACTGATTATAAGGCAGTTTCCCTGACATGCTATGGTTACCAGATGCTCAAAATGCAGTTGTAATTTGACGCTATGTGAGGCTGCTTTATAGGTTCCCTCCGTCTTCTTCAGAACTAACCTTATTTTTGCGATTCACTTCTCCAGTGAAAAGGCACAGCTATCTTACTAGATTACAATTAAACGAACAACAAAGCTCTGCTGGAGGAACAGCTTTACCATAAGAATTCACTGTGCGAAGAAGCAAAAGGCCGGGGAAGAAATAAGGCGGCGAAGAAAGACTAAGGAGACCGTCCATCGGATGCCTCACAGAACCCACGAGCAACGATGCCACACTACCAGTAGACTCTTTGCTTCCTTCCATTCCTCTCTAGTCCAAGGGACCCACCTAGATCCTTGTCGTTGATGCCCAGATGGTTGTCGAGCTCAGTGCAAACTTTGGAAACGAGCGACAGATACTCGAGCTTGGCGAGCTCCTCCGTAGGATCCGCCATGACGCCTCTAAATATCTTTCCCGTCTGGTCGATCTCCAGCAATAAACACTTCCGGGTTCCTTTCCTACACGCGGTTCATAATGAAGGCTAGAAAACAAGGCGGGTTCTATTTCAGCGGCGCCCTCCAAAGATCATTTAGAAGAAACCTCTGAGGAGGCTTTACAGTTATATTCCCTCTCTTGGGCTGCCAAGATGAAGCTTTGACGAAATCCCGGACTTAAATGGAGATGCGAATCCGCAGTCACAGTAGCACGATTTATTACATTCGGGACGCAGAAGAGACTTAATTAGAGACCAAAGAAACTACTTCTCCCAGCATCCCTTCCAATCCAAGCTCCTTCTTCCCGGAAGTGTGCTCCCCGAGCTTGATTGGCCGTTCTGGAGATGATACGTGAGCATGTGCCAAAGGTAGGGGAAAAGATGGCGGAGCCGTCGAGTGTTTCTTCGGAATCTCCTTGGGGAGGAAAAGTGAGCGATACGAATAGAAAAAGCGAGGGACAGAATCAGCTGTCAGAGCAGAGAGTATTTTTAGGAGAGATTTTAGTTGTTTGCTGGGATCCAGTATTATAAAGTAGTAGTGTAGCGAACTTCTCTGAACATAGGAAGATTGCTTTTTCTTGCCGTGTTGAGTAACCGTAGAAAGTAGTCTGTTTTGACTACTCTATCTTTTTGTTGCCTGTAACTGTGATGGGAGTGATATTTAGGCTGGGTTCGTGCAATATGCTAGGCTAGGCTGAAAATAGCTGATAAATTAGTTTGGTTCAATGAGTAAATGGAGCCGGTGTCATTGCGCGCTGTTGTGCAAACTCTCAACTGGATTAATTGGGTACACGATGTTTAATAAGCCATGGGGTAATATGTTGTGTAAACATAGCCACTGATTTCTCAGGGATATTTCATGCCCAGATTCGTTAAATTTGGTTTGTTGCATAGATAGCATAATAAAACTAATAACTGGACACTTTAAGATTCTAAAGAAGTTACTCCTAGAATGAATAAGATTGTTGCTCCTTTGATAGCGGTAGCTTTTTCTATCATGATGATTAAGGTGCGGATGATGATGTTTATAGATGAGCTAGTAAATTTGCTGCCTCTTATCTCATTGCAAATTATCCTACATAAAACAGAAATGAAGATGAGAAACAACATTAACTTCCCACCTTAAAATTATAGGGGAAATATAGTATGATTGGCAGGCTCAAAACTCTTTATTAAAAATGAACTTTTTATTTGAGACTTTATTGATTGCACTTTATTAAGTATTATTATCACTAGCATGCTGGATAGAACAGAAGAATGACCAACTATGTAATTTATATTACTATATTTTTGAGGCAAATTATTGTTTCCCTCATATCCAGAGTTTGAACTTTATAACTTTTAATGTTGCAACATGTCATTGCTTCCTGTCTTGTTTCTCTATTGCAACAAATTGTGCAAGGGTAAGACTGAAGCATTTTAGGGGACTATATCCTTGCATTATAATTTAACTTTTTCCACAGTGATATTTTTTTCTGGAGGAAAGTATAGGAAATGTTGGCTTAGTATTGTAAAAACATGCCTTAGTTTGTTGCTCAGAAACAGCCCAAAAACTGATGATACAAATTGGACTGTTTCTTTGTGTGTTTATAGGCAGCACTTACTTATTCAGTGTGAGATAATAGTAGATCCATTGAACATAGCTCTTCATGTAGTCCCCATGGAGCTTTAAGAGATGCTTAGGGAAATGTATTTAATACAACACGCAATCTGAGTTATCAAAGTTGAACAATGGAAAAATGATCTCTTACATTTTCCCTTTGTAACATAATTCAACAGGTTGATATTTCTTATAATGACAACGGGTTGGATTCTGGTAAGTTTTTTATCCCTTTATCATTTTCTTACTCTGGTGCAGTTCTTCTATGAAGAATTCATACTAGGGAATTCACAAATTTTAGTTTAGTAGTTAGGCATTATCTGTGGTTGCTGCCATTTCTTATTTCCCCAAAGTTCTTTCACATGAGCAATATTCAAGAAGCGCATAGTCTTTGCTAATTTCATATTGTGCTTTGAATGAATTCCTAATAAAACAGTGAATGAATAGGGAAGGAATAGTGTCCTTGCCTTTAAATCAAAATGACAGAGAACCAATTGCAGCAAAGGGGGGGAGGAAGAAAGGAAAAATGAGCTAATTTTGCAAATGATAATGCCATTCACTGATATTGAGTACTTGCTGACTAAACAAATTATTCTTTTGTATTGCATAATTGCAATTAATACCTATTAAAAACCTTGCTTTAAATATAAGCAGTAGTATCCATTTTTAAAAGATATAATAACTGCAAAGGGTATATAACTGCAAAGGGTATTTAAATTACTAAATTATTAATTACTAAATTAGTTTGAGTTATGAATACTTTTGCTTATCTTCTAGCACTCTTTGTGGAAAACAGAAAAAAAGTGATGATTGTATCAAGAGCTAATAGTATTGGTTCTACCAGTGCCTCTTCAGTACCAAATACAGGTAATGAATTGCTTCCTTTCCTCTCAGTAAAACTCACTCTAAATATGTAATGAAATGTACCTCTGTCTTACAGTGTTTCCCCGAAAGTAAGACTTGGTCTTATATTATTTTTGCCTCCAAAAGAGGCATTAGGTCGGGCAATGTCTTATATTTTCGGTGACACCTACCTCGCCTTGTGGTGGCGGCACCAACAGCCCCATCCAGCAGGAGCCTGCATGGCTGCAGGCCACTTCTGCGGCTGCTTGCAGCAGGAGGCTGCGCAGCATATCGCGCTGCTGCCGCCACGAGGCAAGGCAGATGGGGAAGGGGGTGGAGCTGTCCCGCACGCCCCGCACCCGCTTCCTTCAGGCTCCCCCCCCAGCCAGGCCATTCCTTGCTCCCTTTCACTCCCCTCCCGAGCTGGACTGCCATGCTACTGTATGGAGGATGGGGGGGGGGGTAGGCCTGGTCGCCCTCTGCCATTTTGGAGCCAGGCAGGATGCTCTGCTGCTGCTGTGCGCTGCTGGAGGGGCTTTCTTTGCGCTTCACCCCACAGATCATCTGCCCGGCAGCAGCTGCCTCCTCCACCAACTCTCCTGTGGCTTGCGCCATGACCTGGCAGCGCAAGACTCCCCTGCTGCCTCCTTCCGCCAGCCTTCCGTCGCCGCTACTGGAGAGAACGGAGAATGGGGAGGGGAACACTAACCTGCTTTCCAGCTCCGGCACGTTTCTCTCCTGCTGCAGGGAAACGGAGTTTGTGAGACTAAAAAAAGTTCAGTCAGACCTTCCAACTTCTCGGGAAGAGGGAGGAGCTGGGCAATGGTGTGCCAAGCTCTATAGCAGCGCTGGGAGAAGCGGCAGGAAACGGAGCTGCCATTTCCAGAACGGAGAAGGGAGACACGGGGCGATGCAGGGCGGCAAGCATGTGCTCTGCTCTGCATCGCTGCGCAGAGCCGTTCCCTTCCCTGTTCTCCACAGTGGCGGTAACGGAGGGCTGGCGGAAGGAGGTGGCAGGGGAGGCTTGTGCTGCCCAGTTTGTTTTGTCATGTTCTATCTGTAATGTGCTTTCCTGACTTGTGTATAGGTTCCACATAAGATAGTGAGATGGGTTTCGATTTTTTTTTCTAAGCACATTTTACAGCTTGAAATGATCAAAGTCTTTTTATTATCAGTGAAGCATGTGCAGACTTTTATTAGTTATTCTTTGGCTTTCTCAGTTATTTAGTGTACACCAACAATAATGTTTTTCTTCCTTGGCTTTTCTGAAGTTACTTTAAACATCTAGCATTTCCCTTTCCATGTAATGCTGTAATCTGCATTGGATGATTCTAAATTTTATTTTACTACCATGTGAAATTGAGGATAATAGAATGATTTGCATTCTATAAAGCATTCTTTCTTTGGTATTGGTATTTAGGTACACTTCTTCCAATCTATGCATCGATCTCTGGATTTGCTAGTATAACTTGTTTAGAACCTTGACCGATTCTTCTGTTGCTTGCCATATTTCTTTAGATATCCCATCAATTCCTATAGCCTTATGACTTGGTAATGACTGGAGTGTTGATCTAATTTCCTATTTTATTACCAATGGTTCTTGTAAGTAGGGAATATCTTCCAATCAGGTGACAATGCCAAATCTATTTTTGTGTGTGTGCAAGACAAACCTAAGCCAATATACCTTGCTTTGTGAAAATTGCTAGCTGTAGATTTAGAAATCACAGTTCTTAACTATTATACCAACATTCTATAATTCTAAACATTTCCTGCCACTGTAAAGTTTGTGTAGGCAAAAACTAAGTCTACACCATCCACAATTATTTTCAGCAGATGTATCTCATGAATTTCTTACTGATACACGCTGACCTAATTTATAGCTATTGTAATAATTGTGCAGATACTGAACAGTTCAGCAATTCATCCACAATCACATAAACCCTCTGATTGATTTCTCCCTATTGCTTCCTGAATTATAGAATAGTTTTGTCTATCTAGTGTATTCCTTTATTTCTAAACAAATTCATATTTATTATTGTTCATCACCCTTGTCACTACCTAGATTTTTTAAAGACAGAATAAAGTAAAAAAAACAAAAATAAAAATTATTTTCAAATTATCTATTGGGTATCCCTATCCTGGCATCCTAAAAGAAAATACAAGTAGAGAATGGAATAGCTCTTCCAACTGTATTAGTCATTCAAAGGGGGTCTTTCCTATTCTCTACTTTTGTTATTTTTAAAGGATTAATAGCCAGTGAAGTATATTTAATATCATCTGAAAATGATAGGTTCCTTTTATTATGTTTCATTTTTTCTGTTTTAGATAGGTTGCAAACCAATTTATTCATTTATTATCAGATTATCTTCTCTGGTCTTCCACATGCTTCTCCAAAAATCTTAGTCATTTTAAACAATGTTTCTTTTATGTTAACTGTCATTGATTTGTGGGCTCCTTTCAGGATGCCAATGGATACATTGCTGATGCCTACCTTATTTAGCATCAGTTACATAGAATTATTTATGAATCTGTTTGAATCTTTCTGTTAAGTATCCCAAATAGTTTATTATTTTTATTAAACAATTTGGTTCTTCACTTAACGTTTCACTTAAACATTATATTGCATTAAGGGAAATAAGTAATTTTTCAATTGCAACTGAAAGCTGAAGGAATTATTTTCTTAAATATCTATGCTGAAATGAAAGTGGCTTTTAGGGACTGTTTTCTTATGTTATAAAGCTAAGGTCAAATCATTCCTCTTTCCCTTTGAAAAATAAA